GGTGCAAACGAGCATACCTTGGGATTTCGAGTTGGAGATCCGGCGGAAGGCGGGGTGGATGATGGCGGATGGATGGCAGAAACCCAAGGACGCATTCATTTAGACTTCAGCAGCACCACGTGACTCCTCTTCGACTTCAGCAGCTCCACGCACGCGACTTCTCTTCGACTTCAGCAGCACCAGTTGAGTTCGTTTGAACTCCAAGGGAGCATGCGTGCAACTCCAGAGGTAGCGAGTTTGGTTTCCTGCAACAAGGCCATCAAGCTTAGTTAGTAATCAGAGTTATATGGTAAAGGCAGGGAGAAAGCAAGCACGGAAGCGAGAAAGGAGATAAAGCAGTAGCAAACGAGCATACCTTGGGATTTCGAGTTGGAGATCCGGTGAAAGGCGGGGTGGATGATGGCGGATGGATGGCAGAAACCCAAGGACGCATTCGATTAGACTTCAGCAGCACCACGTGACTCCTCTTCGACTTCAGCAGCTCCACGCACGCGACTTCTCTTCGATTTCGGCAGCACTAGTTGAGTTCGTTTCGACTCCAAGGGAGCATGCGTGCAACTCCAGAGGTAGCGAGTTTGGTTTCCTGCAACAAGGCCACCAAGCTTAGTTAGTAATCAGAGTTATATGGTAAAGGCAGGGAGAAAGCAAGCACGGAAGCGAGTAAGGGGAACAAGCAATAGCAAAAACGGACAAGGAACTAACTCTGGTGCAAACGAGCATACCTTGGGATCTCGAGTTGGAGATCCGGCGGAAGGCGGGGTGGATGATGGCGGATGGATGGCAGAAACCCAAGGACGCATTCATTTAGACTTCAGCAGCACCACGTGACTCCTCTTCGACTTCAGCAGCTCCACGCATGCGACTTCTCTTCGACTTCAGCAGCACCAGTTGAGTTCGTTTGAACTCCAAGGGAGCATGCGTGCAACTCCAGAGGTAGCGAGTTTGGTTTCCTGCAACAAGGCCACCAAGCTTAGTTAGTAATCAGAGTTATATGGTAAAGGCAGGGAGAAAGCAAGCACGGAAGCGAGAAAGGAGATAAAGCAGTAGCAAACGAGCATACCTTGGGATTTCGAGTTGGAGATCCGGTGAAAGGCGGGGTGGATGATGGCGGATGGATGGCAGAAACCCAAGGACGCATTCGATTAGACTTCAGCAGCACCACGTGACTCCTCTTCGACTTCAGCAGCTCCACGCACGCGACTTCTCTTCGACTTCAGCAGCACCAGTTGAGTTCGTTTCGACTCCAAGGGAGCATGCGTGCAACTCCAGAGGTAGCGAGTTTGGTTCCTGCAACAAGGCCACCAAGATTAGTTAGAAATCAGAGTGATATCAGAGGCAGGGAGAAAGCAAGCACGGAAGCGAGTAAGGGGAACAAGCAATAGCAAAAACGGACAAGGAACTAACTCTGGTGCAAACTAGCATACCTTGAGATTTCGAGTTGGAGATCCGGTGGAAGGCGGGGTGGATGATGGCGGATGGATGGCAGAAACCCAAGGACGCATTTGTTTAGACTTCAGCAGCACCACGTGACTCCTCTTCGACTTCAGCAGCTCCACGCACGCGACTTCTCTTCGACTTCAGCAGCACCAGTTGAGTTTGTTTCGACTACAAGGGAGCATGCGTGCAACTCCAGAGGTAGCGAGTTTGGTTCCTGCAACAAGCCACCAAGCTTGATAAGAAATCAGAGTTATATGGTAAAGACAGGAAGAAAGCAAGCTCGGAAGCGAGAAAGGAGATAAAGCAGTAGCAAAAACGGACAAGGAACTAACTCTGGTGCAAACGAGCATACCTTGGGATTTCGAGTTGGAGATCCGGTGAAAAGCGGGGTGGATGATGGCGGATGGATGGCAGAATCCCAAGGACGCATTCGTTTAGACTTCAGCAGCACCACGTGACTCCTCTTCGACTTCAGCAGCTCCACGCACGCGACTTCTCTTCGACTTCAGGAGCACCAGTTGAGTTCGTTTCGACTCCAAGGGAGCATGCGTGCAACTCCAGAGGTAGCAAGTTGGTTTCCTGCAACAAGGCCACCAAGATTGATTAGAAATCAGAGTTATATGGTAAAGGCAGGGAGAAAGCAAGCACGGAAGCGAGAAAGGAGATAAAGCAGAAGCAAAAACTGACAACGAACTAACTCTGGTGCAAACGAGCATACCTTGGGATTTCGAGTTGGAGATCCGGTGAAAGGCGGGGTGGATGATGGCGGATGGATGGCAGAAACCCAAGGACGCCTTGTTGAGACAGCCCATGGGATCGTTTCAGATCCAGCAGCCCCGTCACCTCTTAGTACTTCTTCACTGGGGGATGGGCGAAAAGACAAAAGAAAATGAGTTAGAGGCCAATTCATAGAGATGCGAGGAAAACAAAAAACAAGAGCAAACCGAAAAAACGAAGCGTTTGCAAAAAAATGGCAATGAAGTGAATGAAAAATGGAAACATCCATGATTCTCCGAATGGCCACAGCTCGCAGAGGGAGGATCTAACTGCTACCCAAACCCGAACCCAAACCGCGGAGGATCATCTGCTCGCTGCGACCATCATTGAATCAGAGGGACGGTGCATGAATGGCGTGAATACGAGAAAAAAACAGCATTAAGCGGAACAAAACATAAGCAACGTGAAGAAGGGAACGTGACTTCCCAGTTGCGGTCGGTGGTGGAATCGAGAGCAGATCCGCCTTCATGCCACGCTCATCACCGCCTTCACATCCTCCATTGATGGTTCGCGTCCAAAAGAAGCATCAGTGGAGGAGTTTCCCGCAGTGCTGGAAGAGAAAACTCCAACTCCGAGTGCTAGAAGAGAAGACTTCGATTGCTAAGCTTAGAATGACCACAACTACTGTACTACTATCAAGTTTGGCTCACTCAGAAGGATGAGCTTGAAAGGATGTTTGAACGGGGTCATGGTTTGGGAGAAGTGGTGGTGGTTCGGATCCCAATCTGTATCTTCTTTGCCGCGCATTTTTCGAAATAAAAACGATTCGGATTGGATCAACGGCTGAGCGACTGTCTTAACTGCTTGAGTTTTCATGCTTCATCCCAGGTTTGGGAGAAAAAGGATCTGAAGGTAGAGGTTCGGGAAAACGCAACCGAACATGCGGGTCGAATTCTAATCTGTTGCAGCACCAAAACTAACCGCGCATCGATCAAGCTCTGAGCAGGAGCCGCTAACCTGCCATGGTCGCCGCTAAATCTCGCGGGTTGATTCCTCTCTGCTTGTGTGGAGTCAGCTTGAGCAAACCCTAGCAGACCCCGGCGGGAAGAGGTGGGTGCGGCAGAAGTTCGAACAGTGTCAGATTCCTTCCAGATTCAAGACAATGGATTCAAGGGGAGTGAACATTTGGAGAACATTTCAAGACAATGCCCCTGTTTTGAACTTCCCATGACAGACTTTCCCACCGAGCAGAATTTCAACACAACTCCGGCTAAGTACCAGGGTGACAACAATCTTCACCCCACCCCACAACCCCCGGGAATTGGGATTTGCGGTGAGTCGATAACCGATTTGTTCACGCCCACTGTGAATGTACACAGTATTCCGCACTCACACCCTCGCCCGCACCCCAAGACAACACTCGGTACTGTACATGAACTGGTTGACCAGTCCAGGTTAAAGGTTAAAGGAGGGGGGGAAACCCCTCTGGGTGTTAACCACACCTGGCTGTCGGTCGTAACCCGCCTCCCCATTTGTTTACACTCCTCGCTGGGTCAACGAGGTTGTTCTATGCACTCCTAGATGAGCACCTGTGTAACCCCCTTCTGGGGGGCTGGCAGAACACGCCGCAGGGGGGATTTGATCCCGGGACCTCATCTTTCGGAAGTGAACCAGCTAACTAGCTGGGCCACTTCAGGATTGACCGGTGGAAAGGGTGCCCAAAAACTTTTACGACAAACACATCACATTCATGATCACATCACAACTCAACAGTGGTGGTCCCCACCAGGGTCAGTGGTGGTCCCCACCATGGTCCCACCCCACGAATCCGACTTTGCAGTAGGTGGGTTGTGTTGCGGTGTTTCAGCCTCCCGAGGCGCGTGAGATGTTACCCCAGACTGGCGAAGTGGATTCTTTTGAAGAGAGATAGTTGGCGTGGGAGAGTCCTTTCGTCATGATTGCTGTGCTGTGCTGTAACCTGTAACAGAGGCTCAAAGATCATCGCGCGCGACTCGACAGACACCTGAATTGACGGCAAGCACAGAAGCACGGGTTTGGGCGTGCTTGAGGTGTGGCTGCGCAGCAACTTGAGTCTCGGCTTCAATGCTATAACGAAGATATTGAAATATCGCGAACAACAATCAAGCCACTTACATTGTTCAACACTTACAAACTCACGATTTACACTCAACAATCTGATCTGATCACATGATCACATTCCTCTTCCCTCAAACTCAACAAATTATCCAGATTTATGTACACAATAAATGCACATGCAAATATTTTTTTGCCAATCCGACCCAAGTTTCTGAACTCCTTCCCACATCCCCTAATCATATCAGCTGCGACTCGAATATATCCTTGCGTCAAATGCCCACGCAACGCAACGTCCATTCCTTTTTTTTAGCAATATGTCAAAATATGTCAAACTATTTTCTTGGTATAGATTGTTTATCTGGTAATTCTTCCAACACCTTAGAGCTGGTATAGGTATAAATAATTAGTCAAGTCATCTTTTATGGCACTCCCCGACCGACCTGTTGCCACACCGACAACTGTGGCAGGGGCTTGACCTCAATATTTAGGTCCGATCCCGAACCAAACACTTGGAAGTCACCTGGGTCCACATTCAGCACACTGCTGGCACCGGACTTGCCTGCCGAGCCTGCAGCAGAGGCTTGGCCCGCAGCCAAGTACCGGAAGGACTGGAGCCCGCAGGCAAGCGTCAAGAATCATCTCAAGGAACAAACGGTGCCTGTTGAAGCACGCATGGGAGAGGCGGATGGATGACAAGAACAGAGTGCTGTATTCGAACGGAGGATGGGAAACGGTGTGTGCAGAGAGGAATGGGTGCAGATGGTACTGAAGCGCAGGTGAGAAAATGTGGCAGAGGAGGAGGAGGTTTAAAAAAGGCTGGTGTAGAATAGGAAGGGCTTTCGAACAAACGAGATATGAGCATGTGTCTCTCACCATCTGAGGTCAGCTGTGAGCCCACCCATCCCTCCCCCTCTTCCCATCCCTCCCCCTCTTCCCATCCCTCCCCCTCTTCCCATCCCTCTCCCTCTTCCCATCCCTCCCCCTCTTCTCATCCCTCCCCCTATTCCCATTTCTTCCCCTCTTCCCATCCCATCCCTTCCCCTCTTCCCATCCCTTCCCCTCTTCCCATCCCTCCCCCTCTTCCCATCCCTCCCCCTCTTCCCATTTCTTCCCCTCTTCCCATCCCTGCCCCTCTTCCCATCCCATCCCTTCCCCTCTTCCCATCCCTTCCCCTCTTCCCATCCCTTCCCCCCTTCCCATCCCTTCCCCTCTACCCATTCCTTCTCCCCCACCTCCCCTCTACCCATCCCTTCCCCCCCTCCTCCCCACTCCTTATTCTCTCTACTCCCCCTCCCACGCACCTGGCGCCTTATTGGCCAGAAATATGACTCCAGCGCACGTTCCAGAGGCTGCGAATTGACTTCTGCGTTGACTCAAAGTCAAAGATGACTCCAGCGCACGTTCCAGAGGCTGCGAATTGACTTTTGAGTTGACTCAAAAGTCAGAGATGCGTCCGGCGCACGTCCCAGAGGCTGCGAATTCCTGCAGCGCGCCGAGCTGGGTGAAGGGACGGGAGTGAAGGGAAGGGGGAAGGGGGAGTGGGGGGAGAGGGGGTGCGGAGGAGGGAGGAGAAGGAGGCGCGCGGGAGACTCAGTTGGGATGTTTGGAAACTAGAAAAGGAAGCCGCGAACTCCTGCAGGGCGGAAGTATGATCCAAAGAAACATGAGATGCGCAATCCGCATTGCGCAAAGCAAGCACCTCACCAGTCCGCATCGCTGGGCGAGGTTGGCCATGGTGGAGCTCTCCCCGCCAGGGATGATGAGCACCTGCACGCCTGGCAAGTCCGCGCCCGTGCGCACCTCTGCAGCGCTGTGGGTGGGGGGAGGGAGCGAGAGGGAGGGAGGGAGGGAGGGACGGATGGACGGGAATGATGAGCGCTTGAACCAGCCGCAGATACCCGTCCGTGCGGACCTCCGCAGCGCTGTGGGATGGGGGGAGGGAGCGAGAGGGAGGGAGGGAGGGAGGGACGGATGGACGGGAATGATGAGCGCTTGAACCAGCCGCAGATACCCGTCCGTGCGGACCTCCGCAGCGCTGTGGGATGGGGGGAGGGAGCGAGGGGGAGGGAGAGGGAGCGTGAGGTAGCGAGAGGGAGCGAGAGAGAGGGAGGGACGCACGGGAATGATGAGCAAGAGAGAGGGACGCACGGGAATGATGAGCAAGAGAGAGGGACGCACGGGAATGATGAGCAAGAGAGAGGGACGCACGGGAATGATGAGCGCTTGTGAGGACATTGCAGAGGAATGAGCAACGAACAACAACGTCATTCAAAGTCATCAAAGTCATTTACAATCATCTCGCTGTTTACAATCATCTCGCTGTAGCAGCGCCAGCGCCAACACGAATGCCGTTCGCCACAAGTGATCGCGAGCTGGCACTGACCTGCTGTGTGCTCGTGACAGGAGTCTTGCCGCGCCAGCACTCCCAATGAAATTAAAAGACCTGACTTGTGCTGCCGTGGCAGCCGAATAAGAGCAGCGGAATTGTGCGATCGAAAATGGAGCAGCGCACGGGTCATGGATCAGCGCTGACTGACGGATCCACTTGACATTGGCGATCCGTTTAGAGGTCCGCTTAGGCCACGATCAGCACGAAGTCAATGATCAGCAAAAGCTACGGCGATCGGACAGCTTTCTTCGAGTCGCGGATCAGATGAATGCTATGGCGATCGGATCAACATTGTTCAAATCAATGGCTGGCTCCAAGAATCGACTGAACGAATCGCGAACAACACTGCGCATTCGCGACAGCTCAATCGAGCAGAGAGACTCGCACAACCTTACTAGGCCGGCACATGTTAGGCAACTTTCCATGGCAATGCCATTGCGTCAGATAAGGTAATCCACTTTGCTAGCTTGTGTTGGTTGAATGTAAACTATAAAGGCCGTCGGCGGGCGCCTACTGTTTGTATATAAGCTATAAAGGCCGTCGCTCGTCGCCAACTGTGTTGTTTGAAGCAACAGCACGAGTAGCTCACCCGTCGCCTACTCAGGGGTATCTTGCAGCGACTCGACCTTGCAGCAGGCAGCATCGTGGGGGACTCGAGTATTTTTGCCGATTGCCCCAAAAGTGACATGCCGCATGGTAAGGCAGCAATTGTTATTTCTTCAACAAAAAATGCTTACAAGCCCGGACAGAAGCGAATCTGTTCCAAGAGAATCCCCGCGATGACTTCAAGGTGACTCTTTCTCTAAACCAATCAGAAGCCTTGCCGCCAAACAAGTCCTTTACCATGCAATCTGGGAGTCTTCGATCTTCCCCACGCTTCACTTCGCCTCGATCCTTTCATTGGTGCTGTTCGCCAGCAAATCGTTTCTTCAACAAAAAACAATGGCATCAGCATCGCGACCGCATATGGAAACGGGGGCGGAACCCTCCTTCCTGGTTTGGGCGAAATGCCGTCCGAGAAACTACGCGCACTCGAAAGACGAAATTTCGCAACCGCGTCGGGAAGGTCCATCCCCACCTTCCCCCCAATGGCGCGAAATTTGCTCTTCACAGACCCTTGTGCTGCCCGCTGATCAAAAATTGCTCAACGTGGGTTAAAAACGCAAATAAAAGAAGCTATGTGCGGGGGGCATTTTGAAGGTGTGTTTGGGAGGGAAAAATGGGGGGTATACGAACCCCCCTTTATTAAACTGAAGGCTTGTTCCCGGGTTCCCCTGAACAGCGATGCGTCCGCTGTGCAACCGCTGTGCCACCGCTGTGCTTCTAAAAACGCCGCATGACGATGGCATTGCAAGGGGATGGTGTTTTGCCTGGGGAGGAATTTTCGTCCCCGCTTCCATATGCCATCGAAACGTTGAAATTGGTGTACAAAAGTGGGCGTTCGCCAGACGCCCAGTTTGTTAATTGGTTTGGGCGGTGGGTGAGGCTCGGCACATTTTTCACGGGCTGACCAAGCTGACGGAGGTTAACGAACCCTAACTGACGGGATCAGGAAGGCGAGACCCACCTTCCCGATCCCGTCGTATCCAGTCGTTTTTAGATATAATGGTGCTGGCGAACAGCCCCATTATCTCATCCCATTCCATCCGACCCCGTCAGCACACCTTCAGAACGGCCTATTGGGCTGGTGTATTTGTTTGGTGAACATGTGTTGGTGAATTTGTCACTCCGAGCCTTCGCCTTCCTCTGCATGTCTCCCACTGCCCGCTGCCGACCAAAAAAAATCAGAACCCGACTTAGGATATGCTTTTTCACTAAATCGCTCTCACAGAATCTCACTGTCTCTTTCCAAAACCTCGTTTTCTTCATCTAGACCTGCCTGGTAGAGCAATGCCGTACGTTCCGCCCCATATGCGAGCCGGTGCAAGGATTTCTGGTTCCGAACCTCCTCCGGGGAGGACGCCAGCAGCTTCGGGTCGAGGACATGCAGGCTCGGAAAATAGGTCTGGGAGAGGTGGAGGCAGAGGCCGTGGTCAGGCGGGTGGCCGAGGCAGAATCCTCTCGATAAGAAATGCTCCCGATGTTGCACGGGCTACAATCATTGACGATTTTGCCGAGCGAGAATCATCCGTTATTGAAACATCTTGCAGCAGCAACTGTGCTTGTAACGGGGGAAATGGTCGTTGCAACCGCGTGCTCCTCAGATTTCGACCGTTCAAAGGGAGGAGCTACGTGCATCTACAGGATCAGAACCTCTCCCTTCTGTATAAAGTTCCAGAATCCGACATCGTCCGTATCGAGTCACCTGATATCGAAACCACCCAGCCACATGAAGATTCCCGATCTTCTGAATCTTATGAAACCGTAAACCCCGCTATAGATTCCCATTCAGCTGCTTCCGCCTCTGTGGGTTCCCCCTCCTCCAGCCTTCCTCCCCCCGTCGCGACCCCGACCTCGTTATTTGACGCCATTGCCGGGCCGCTTCGCGCGGGGTTGGATGCGGTGCACAGGGATATGCAGTTTGCCGCCGAGTCGCAGCTAAGACGTTCCACTTTGGACCGATGCAAGCTCGTGGTGCGCCTCGGGAAGTTGCTCTTCGGGCCGCCGTTTGAAGCTCCGGGGTAAGACATGTGTGAGAGAAGAGCGGCGAGGCAGGTGGGGAAGATACGGGGGATAATGCCTTTGGCGGGGAAGTGACGGTGGGGTGGATGAAAGCTCATAGTGCGGCTGGGAAAGCTGCTGTTCGCGCTTTCATTCGGATTCAGGTTTCAGGGCTTTGGGTGAGTGAGTCGGTTGGGAAGAGACACGGGGGAAACAGGAGTAAGGCACGAGGGAGAGGCATGTGAAGTCGATCCTCACCACCGCACATGCCCTTGGTCTCCGCACCTCTTTGCACCTCCCTGTTCCACTCTGCACCACTCGTCATCTCCCGTCAACAGGAGTAGAGGCACAAAGGAGTGAAGTCGATTCTTAACAGACACATACACCGCCTCCTATGTTCAGTCTTCGTCTCTGCACCTCCCCTTCACACAGGGATCTCCTTCCCAGCCTGCCGCCCTTCACAGCGGGTGCATTGGAGTCGGTTTTCAACCGCCTACCAGGCGGGCCGTCCAGCTTCAACCGTGTAGAATCTACAGCACAGCGCCTGCCAGCCAGGGTGCACCGGTCGCTGGAAACAGGCATGCCTGAGCCGCTCTTTCGGGCTGTGGAGGGTATTGCTATGGCGGGGGACGGGGCGAGCACGTGCATGCGAGAGGCGTACCACATTCGGGTGTGTGGCATTTACCACGTGCACGTGTAATGAGATGTAATGAGTTGGTATGCTGAAATCCTTATCATTTACTTGTTTGTCTTCAGCATCCTTAGTTTCCCATATTGATGATCCGTTACAGGTCACAGACACAGACCACATGGACTTAGAGTACAAGCTCACATGCAAGCCTAATCCGGATGGCAAAGGGGTTATCCTCGTTAAGGTGCGTTTCATTCTTGTTGCGCTCCCTGCTTGGCGTCTATCTTGTGTGCTTATGTGCACCTTACCTCCGTTATAGTCCTCTGCTGTATGCGTGCTTGTCAGTGTCAGTAATTACTTCCTTTCTTTGACGTCTCTCGCGCCATTGATTTCCGCCTCATGATCTCCCTGCGTGCACTCTATGCCTGCTTGCACCACTCTCCAGGTGAAGTACGAGACGCTGCGCTATGCAGTCATTGACGTATCTCGCCCTGCCAAGGAGATTGACTTCCGCATCATGCTCTCCACTGAGACCCGCCTTTGCTCACTCGATGTAAGTGTGTGCTCTCTCGATATATGTCTGTGAAACATACATGTGCTACTGTCACGTGACCCGCCTCTGCTCGCTCAATGTGCGCCTGCCAAATATGCATATGCTTGTGTATCGTACACACATGTGCTTGTGACGTCTGCCTGACTTCCTGTTCTCCTTGTATATGGTATTGTGGTGTCGTTTCCAGTTCCATTATCAGTTCGCCCAATTTCTGTCATTTCCAATTTCCATCCATTTTTTTCCTCCCCCCTCCCCTTTCCCCTTCCCCTCCCCTGCACCCCCAGGAGGCCACTCGATCTGCGTGTGAGAGCATAGCATCAACAGCAATCATTGAGGACAATTCAAAGGGCGGCCTACACTGGCCTATTACCTCAGACTTCCACGTCGGCATGACAGAAGCGCGTTCATCCGCGCCAGCACCATCACATCGGTTCAGAGTGACAAGTGTGCGGCATCAGAGGCGGCTGCACGTGCAGTCAGGCGGGCAGGTGTGGAAGCTGTCGCGTGTGAACGGAGTTCAGTTCAACCATGGGGGAGGGCGTCTCACAAATGAAGCAGAGTTTTCCCTGTTGGCCTGGCGAAACTCTATGAAGGTGTGGCAAGAAGGTGGTGATTCTGAGTGTGCATGGGTGTGTGTGCCCGTGTGCGTTTGTGTGTGCATGCATGTGCCTGTGCAAGCATCCGTGCATGTGTGTGCTTCAGTCAGGCATGTAGGATTGGAAGCTGTCGTGAGCACTCGGTGTGCGTCTCACCAACGAAGCAGAGTTTTCCCTGCTGGCCTGGCGAGATGCTATGAAGGTGCAGTGCTGGTGTGAGTGTGTGCGAGTGTGAGCATGCGTCTGCATGCTTCAAAGGCTTGATTCCTGCTGCACACGGTTCAAAGAGAGCTCTTGGATTTGTTGTTCAACATGGTTGAATAAGTGTTTATCTTTCCTGGATGTTTCCCCTCTTATTTGCGCCTCTCTCTTTGCCATGAGTGCGGCAACTGATACAGTTCAATGCGGAAGCAAGTGCAGGCGTCACTGCTATTCCTCCTCCTTCCTCCCTACCCAGCAAGCCCCTACCTACAAGCTACTCGGCAGCATCTTGCTTTGACACAAGCTTGCAGCAGGCAGCACCACAGTGGACTCCAGACAGCATTCTTGCTGAATGCCCTGCCCTCGTAGACTGGTTGGAGCACCACCTGCCGTAACATTAGGTGGATGCAAGCTTGTGCAAAAATGTGGTAGATCGTAGCAAATCCTTTCCCACTAAAAGTTGAGGTTGTTTAGACTTCGTTGAGTTGTGGGGAGTAGGGTATCAATACGAGCTCCATACAGTAGCGAGTATAGGAAGCGAATCTGCAATGACGTCAAGGTGACTCCTGGTCGCGCTCCAATCGGAAACCTTGCCGCCAAAATGCCATCGGCTCCATCCATCCCATCCATCTCATCCATCTCTTCCATCTCATTCATCTCATCCGTCCATCCAGCCATCACTAACATGGGGCTTCCGCCGCGCACGCAATCTGCGATTCTGCTACCTCCTCTGCTGATGAACCTGGAAATCCGTCAATTCCTGTCAACTCGTGTTGTGGCGTCCCATCGCCATTTTCTTCATTTCATTTTCAACCGACCTTCAGAGTCCCACTTCGCCATCTCGTGTTTCTCCCGTACAAAGCAGTTGCGATCACAGCTTTCCATTTTGTCTATCCTCATTCAGAGAGTTCCTCTCAGGAACCCCAGTCTCTTATTCGAAAAAAAAACCCGATTCATTCTTGAGTTGTCAGGAGAAACGATGCCGTACGTTCCTCCGCACATGCGAGCTGGTGCGACGGTTTCCGGTTCCGAACCTCCTTCCCGGACGACGCCAGCAGCTTCAGGTCGAGGCCATGCAGGCTCGGAGAATAGATCCGGGAGAGGCCGAGGCAGAGGCCGTGGTCAGGCGGGTGGTCGGTCCCGAGGCAAAAGTCTTGCTGAGAAGAAGATAGCGATAAAGAATGCTTCCGATGTTGTGCTGGCTACAGTAATCGACGATTATCTTGAGCGAGAATCATCCGTCATTGGAACACCTTGCAGCAGCAACTGTGCCTGTAACGGAGGAAATGGTCGCTGCAACCGCATGCTGCTCAGATTCCAGCCGTTCAAAGGGAGGAGCTACCTGCATCTACAGGATCAGAACCTCTCCCTTCTAACGAGAGTTCCAGAAGCTGAATACGACCATATCGAATCACCTGATAACGAGAGCAACAGGACGACTGGACATTCTCCTTCCGCCGCTGTGAATTCTCCCCCCATCGCGACCCCGGCCTCCTTATTCGACGCCATAGCCGTACAGCTTCGCGCGGGGTTGGAGGCGGTATACAGGGAGATGGAGTTTGCCGCCCAGTCGCAGCTAAGGCGGTCCACTTTGGACCGTTGCAAGCTCGTCGTGCGCCTTGGGAAGCTGCTGTTCGCCCCGCCATTTGGATCGCCAGAGTAAGTTGTGGGAGGGAGGGGGAGGTGGGGGTGGGGAGGAATTGGAGGGTGCACCATTTTCAGGAAATCGGCATGCCAGAGCCTCTCTTTCCCGTTTCCTCCTTCCCTGCTCCCCATATCCCCTCATATGAACCAATCTGAACCTCTTTTTACCCCTCTCAGGTCGCTCCTCCCCAGTCTACCGCCCTTCACAGCGGGCGCGTTGGAGTTTAGACTCTAAACAGGCGCGCACATCGCCTGCCAACGAGGGTGCACCGGTCGCTGGAGACGGGCATGCCAGAGCCTCTCTTCCCCTTCTCCTCCTCCCCTGCTCTCCAAGTTCCCCCTATGAACCGCCATGAACCCCTTTGAACCTCCCTCCACCTCCCTGCACGCCTCTTCACCCCCTCTCAGGTCGCTGCTTCCTAGCCTGTCGCCATTTACAGCGGGCCAGTTGGAGTCGACTCTAAACAGGCGTGTGCAGCGCCTGCCAACCAGGGTGCATCGTTCACTGGAGACAGGCATGCCAGAGCCGCTTTTTCAAGCAGTGGAGAGCATTGTGATGGCGGGGGACGGGGTCAGCGCGTGCATGAGAGAGACGTACCACATTCGGGTATGTTGTACGTATGTGCCAGCCTTAGCACGTAGGTACTCTGGATTGGGGTGGAGGCAGGCATTCCTTAGCCGTTCTCAACCCCTTACTTACTCAGCCTTGTACCAGCCTTTTCAAGGGGAGACTGCATGAAGGTGGCAGCCAGGTAGGGAGTGGTTGGCAGGCAATGACGGGCATGTTATAAACGGGGATGCAAAGAGACGTAGCGAGAATGGGTTTGCTGGAATCTTGGGTGCATATGTCCCTGTCAGTGTCACGCCTGGTGACTTTTCTTCTGCGCATTTTTGTCCCCCATGTTGTTGATCCGTTACAGGTACAAGACACAGAGCAGCTTGACACAGAGTACAAGCTCATATGCAAGCCTGATCCGGATGGCTCAGGGGTTATCCTCGTTAAGGTGTGCTTCATTCCTTGTTGCTGTGGTTTCTGCCTATGAAGCACTAGTTTTTCGCCTTCACGCACCCACTTATTACTGATTAGCCATTGTATACCATCACGGTCAACTGGCCATTTTGTTCTCTCGGTGAATGCACATCTACTTTTTTCATTTTCTCAGTGACTGAAATCCCTATGTATTCAATTTAAATGAAAGCTTTTTCCCCATCTTTTTAAGTGCCATCTCTTTCTTTCAGTTTCTTAGTGAATGCATTCTTTTTCATCCCATACTCACTCCATCATTCTTCTCCTCCACCCATCCATCCCACACCGGCACTGCACTTACAAACTCCCCACAGGTGAAGCACAATCCACTGCGCTATGCAGTCATCGACGTCTCTCGCCTCTCCAGAGCCATTGACTTCCGCCTCATGCTCTCCACCGATACCCGCCTCTGCGCTCTCGATGTAAGCGTAGGAGAGGGCATGTGCAGTGCTTCTATCACATGCGCTGCACATTCGCTCGTTTTGAGTGCACAGCAATATGTGCGCTGTGCGTGAATGCCATGAGCCAGTACCCGTTGACTTCCGCCCCATACCCGCCTCTGCGCTCTCTATGTGAGTGTGAGACATTCGTATGTGCGTCTGCCACGTGTGCCACTGCCACCACCCCCCCCGCGTCGCCTCCCTTCTTTTAAAACCAGGAAGCCACTCGGTCCGCAGCGAGTGCGTAACGTCAACAGCAATCAGCAAGAGCAGCGCCAAGGGTGGCCTGCACTGGCCCATCACCCTCGACTGTTGATTCGACTCAACAGCCACATTGCCCCAATCCTTCCCCCGTTATTCCAGGATGCCACCCGGTCTGCATGTGAGCGCATAGCATCGACAGCAATTATCGAGGGCAGCGCCAAGGGTGGCCTGCACTGGCCTATCACGCTCGACTTTGATGTTGGCATGAAGGACCCACGCTCACCATCTCATACACCAGCATCAGCAGCAGCAGCAGCAGCAGCACCCTCACACCGCTTCAGAGTGAAGAGTGTGCGACATCAGAAGCGGCTCAAGGTGTTTGGGGGCGGGCAGGTGTGGAAGCTGTCGCGAGTGAACGGGGTGGAGTATGACCATGGGGGAGGGCGCCTCACCAATGAAGCAGAGTTCTGCCTGCTGGCCTGGCGAGATGTTATGAAGGTGCGTGATTGAGTCTCCCTTGTGCATGTATCCGTGTATGTATGTGTGTGTATTAGAGGGTGCAGGTGTGGACGCTGTTGCGGGTGAACGGGGTGGAGTATGACCATGGGGGAGGGCGGCTCACCAATGAAGCAGAGCTTTGCCTGCTGGCCTGGCGAGATGTTATGAAGGTTAGTGAGACGCGCGTGGGGTGATTCCGAGTGTGAGTGCGTGTAGGCGTGCGTCTGTGTGCTCATGGCGCCTCATGAACGAAGCAGAGTTCTGCCTGCTGGCCTTGCGAGGCGTCATGAAGGTGAGACAGACGCTGGTGCAATTGGTGTGTATGGACATGTGTGCGTGCGATTGTGTGCGATCGCGTGTGTGCGTGCCTGCGTGTGTGCCTGGGTGCGTCTGTGTGCATGCTTAGAATGTGTGTCGCCAGCAAAGTGTAGTTTTGTGTGGGGACTCCTGGGTTTGTTGTGCAACGGGATAAGTTATATTTCTTTCTATTTTCATTCCCAATCGTACATGATAATTCATGCAGGCAAAACAGGGGGGAGATGATGGCGCAGCTGATGCTTCTTCTCTTTCGCCCCTACCTAACGAGCCTGGACCTAAAGCCTACTCTGCGGAATCTTGCTTCGACTCGAGCTTGCAGCAGGCAGCACCACAGTGGACTCCAAACAGCATTCTTGCTGATTGCCCCACCCTCATGAACTGGCTGCAGGAGCACTTGCCATAGAGAACAGCTCGAGCATGTACTTAGATAAGACCCAATAATAGGCATACAATCTTTATTGTAGGCCTGTGAATTGTACCTTCAATCCACATGAGGACTGACCAATAAGCGCAAGCTGTACTCTCTTTTTTTTCCAACTTTTCCACATCGTCCTTTCAAGTTCCTGGTATCTGTACATTGCTTGTATCGGATCAGAATATACGAGGGGCACAAGCTTCACTCAACACCCTCTAGCCCAACCCTTCAAGAGCCCACCATTCAGCAGCAAGAAGCATTCAGCAGCTTTTCCAAGGGATAGCTGCAGCAGGAAGTCATGGCTGTACGCCCGTGTCCGCGATACTTTGTAGCTAATCGGCGGATCGCTTTATCTTCATGAACATGTTTACTTCCAGCTGAGGCTCCGAAACGCGTGCAATACCCCACAAGGCTGAGACATCTGTCAGGGGTTGAAAAACATTAATTCCTTCATTTATAGAGAAATTTCTGGACGGATTACTTTCAACATCATGGCACTTTATGAGTCATATAGGCAGAGATTTAAGCTATCCGCAAGAGGCGGCGGCCCGCTCACGCATTCTCCTGACGCCAGAATTCTAGTGCTCGTGGATGATTACGACGACAGGCAGTCCGAGAGCACGAACCTCGCTCCAGATGGGCGAATCTCCCTCTTCTTCGAACAATTTGGTTGCGAAAGTTACCCGTACCTTCGCAAACGTCGCCTCGCGATGCTGTCCAAGGCACCAATTCGAGGCACTCTGGAAGACTGGCTTGCTAGCAGCGATAGATTCGCGGGTAAATGGGACAACGATCCTAAAAATGATGTAACAAGGATGTTTCACGGCGGTGATGATGAGGACCGTAATGGGGTTGCTAGTGGAGCGACTAATACTGAAGACAACCGCGAGGGTCTCTCACATTCAAATGACACCAACGGTTGGGATTGCAAGGATAGCAGGGAAATCGCGGAAAGCACGGATGCTTTACGAGAGGCGAGATTTCTGAATGCGATCCAACAGCCTCTGACAGCAGCTTTAGATCTGGTCCGTGAGAAACTGCAGCACCATGCTGTTTCAGCAGCAGAGGGTGTTGCTGTGACAACAGTGGGTGCTGCTGCTGATAATGGATTCAGGAGGGTCAAGCTCCTGGTCCGGCTTGGCAAGCTGCTCTTCTCGGCGCATGGAAACAGGTACCGTACGTGCATATAGATTGCGCCGAACCTATAGTGAAGGTGTGTACTGAAGGTGTACCAATTGCGTGCTGAAGTGAGCTGAGTATGCAGGGACAAGGAAGGTTAGCTAGCAATGGTGTGGATATACTAAATTTCTGCTGCATCTGCGCTGAATGGGTGGTGAATGAATGTGTCATGAGGTTATGCTTGCATTCAGATGCACTAAGAAGCTGTCTGGTCTGATGTTTGCATATGACGCCAGAATCCTGATTCAGATGTCCGCCTGATTCCCTTCTCCGTCTCAGTTATCCACCACTGCCTCTTAAACCGAATCCTGCTTATTTTCCGCCAGAAATCGTCTGACCAAGGTCCCACCCTTCTCTGCGAAACGACTAGAGGACTACATGAGTGGGAGTGAGCAGCAGTTGAAGCTGCCGATTCACAGGGTGTTTGAAACGCACGTCCCTGACAGCGTGTGTGGCGCATTGGAGGAGATTGTCTTGAGAGATTCAGGTCTGGCTTGCAAGAGCAGTGAGAAATACGACATTCAGGTGAAATTCGATATATATAATGCTGCTATTGAACTGGCGTATCCGTTTTCCATCCCACGCCATCAGTCTGTGCATGGATGTTCTTATGTGTGGAAATATTAGATGCATCCCTCTTGTGCCAAGCTCTAATGTTACCTGTAAATTTCAGGTGCTTGATACCTGGTCGCGAGTTATCTACAGAGCAAGCTGTATATATGATGATGAGAAGCAACGCCTTTTCATAAAGAAGGTCAGATCACCTTACACGGAAAGAGTGCCTTTGAGGGCAGAGTGTCGATGTTTTTTGTCGCATGTACTAGAGATGCTTGTGTGTGCTGTATATTACATGCGTACTATGATCCTTGTACCTTTTGACTCCAGGTGAAGAAGTTTCCGGTTCGCTATGGAGTCTTCGAGATTGCACGGCCAGGCAAGGCCCTGGATGTGCGTTTGATTCTGACCGTTGAGACACATCTGCCAACTCTAGACGTGAGTGCCCCATGCATTCATGCATCTTGGAATGGTGATTCAACAGGTTCTCAACGTACTGCTAACTTACTCCATTTGTGTCCTAATATACACTAAAGCATTAGGTGGCACCTGTCATATATGTACATAAACATAACAAGAGACTTTATTCCTTTCTCCGTCCTGCGTCCCTCCCAGGAGGCACTCGGAGCTGCATTCCACAAGGTGCTGGAGGCAGCGCAATTTGACCCAGAAAGCCCGGGAGGGGTGCGCATTCCAGAGCACATGATCGAAGGACAAAAGGGGTTTGATGTTACCAGCATGGAATGTGACTCTAGCAGCAGTGATTCTGAAGATACCAGCAGAATTGGCAGTTCTTATGATGTCAGCACGCGGGATTCTGAAGTCAGCAGCAGATTCTCAGCTAATAGCACTGTGAATACCAGTGGTGGGAGCAGCAGCAGTGAAGAGAGCGGGAGGTTTCAAGTGAGAGCGGTCCGGCATTTATCCGTGAGGCGAGTGCAGGCGGAAGGGAGGCTATGGAAGTTTTCCCGTGTGGATGGGATTGAGTACAAGCAGGGAGGCGGGCGGAAAACGAACATAGTAGAGGTGTGCCCGGCGCTGTGGCAGCAGCAGCTCAAGGTAAGAAGAGAGCGGGAGTTCCCAAGTGAAAGCGGTCAGGCATGTATCTGTGAGGCGAGTGGTGGCAGACGGGAGGCTGTGGAAGTTCTCCGTGTGGATGGGATTGAGTACAAGCAGGGCAGCAGGCGGAAAACGAACATAGTGGAGGTCTGCCCTGCAGCATGGCGGCAGCAGCTCAAGGTGCGAATCTTTGGCAACTAAGTGTGGATGGGATCGAGTACAAGCAGGGGGGGGCGGAGGAAAAACATAGTGGAGGTCTGCCCGACAGCATGGCGACAGCAGCTCAAGGTAATGAATCCAAGCACATCTATATCACAGGGTATGTCTGTCGTTGTCCCCCCCTGGTATGCCCATCTGCTAAGCATGCAGAACAGATCATGAGAGGATGCTCCAACTTGTTTCACTCTTACGCAGTGCCATGCATTCCTCGCATTTTCTCTTCTTTGGTCCCCCATCCTCTATCCAGGGAGAACCTGGTTGCTCCAGCGAGCAACAGCAGCACCCCACATGGACCTCCCGTTCCCCACATGAAGTGCCCTGCATTGCACGCTTTTTCTTTTGCTTGGTCCCCCATCCCCTATCCAGGGGCACGTGCTGGAGCCTGCATGCTCCAAGGAGCAACAGCAGCACCCTTCATGGACCTCAGAGCACATCATTTCGGAGTGCCCTGCGCTGCTTGCATGGTTAGCTTGGAATTTGCAATGAGCAATGCACCCATACTCTGTGCTACTTTGGTATTTTACACCACACTGTTTCTAGTCCGTCCTGTCTGCCTTTAAAAGGCAGACAATGGATAAGCTACTACTAGTAACACTGTACAGCTACACTATAATCCTATATGTACATCCAAGAACTAGTAGCACTATAAAGCTACACTTCCTTGCTCTATGTACATTAATAAACTAGAAATACTGTACACTACACTGTATTGCTTCTGTACATCCAAAAACTAGTAAACACTGTACATCTATACTACCTCGCCATATGTACATCCAAGAACTAGCAACACTGTACACAGCTACAATTCCTTGCCATATGTACATCCAAGAACCAGCTGAAGCGGCAGTTGCATCACCTCAAGACCAATCAGAGCAGCCCCAAATCCCTGAGCTGCATCTCGTGTTACAGTGTTGAGACGCCTCAAAAGTCGACAGCTGGCGTGCTCACAATCAGAGAAGGCCCAAATCCCTGAGCTGCATCTCATGTTCCGGCGGCAGCGGCGGTGGCGACCAATCAGGAGGGAGAGACACTCCAGACAAATCTTCCACGATATACTCCTGGAGTGGAGCGGTATGGCATGGACGGAGAGAAGGGAGGAGGGGGACAAGGAAGACAAGGAGAAAATACTGGTGGTGAGCTACAGACGAATCTTCCACAATATATTCCTGGAGGGGAGCGGTATGGCATGGACGGAGAGGAGGGAGGAGGGGGACAAGGAGGACAAGGAGAAAATACAGGTGGTGAGCTACAAACAAATCTTCCACGATATACTCCTGGAGGGGTATGGATGGGGAGAAGGGAGGAGGACAAGGAGGACGGGGAACAGGCATAGAGGCAGCAGTGGTGACATTGTAAATAGACGCATTCCAGAAGGCAGCGAAAGAGGCAGCAGTAGCAACAGTATGATGGCACCGTGAAGAGCAGGTCCCCAGAAAGAAATAAGAGTAACTTACCCAAACTACAGTACAAACATGTGTGAGAGCAGAACTATAACGGTGAACGAAATGGATTGCGGAACTAGAGGAGGCATCAATGGCTATACAAAAACCTATTGCAAGGTTCCAAGGATATACTGTACCGCCAGCCTGACCAGCTAATGGCAAGTACATGCGACTGCCAGAACGTGCAGTACGGAAGTGAGAAGTACCTTAGTGAGGATCCTCTTAACGAGGATGTGATAGTGGCGCTGGCAAATCCGCTGCACCACCAGAATCGAGACCAACAAGCAGTAAAACACCCCCACGAAAGCCAGCACGACCAGTAGGATCGGCAGGAAGACAAGCCATCCGTCCCCAGTGCATGCGCCAGCACAGCAGTCGCTACAGCTAGTGCAGGAGTGGGGGCAGCCTGAGCAGGGTGGGCAGTTACAGTCGCAACAAAGGTAGCAGTGCCTACAGCCGCCGCACACACTGGGAGCGGGAGAGATTGGGACGAGGGCGGGAATGGGAGAGATGGACAGAGCGAGAAAAGGAGGAGCGAGAAAAGGAGGAGTGAGAAAAGGAGGAATTAGAGAGAAAGGGATGTTGTACATGTAACAAGGGAGATGAAAGAATGGTGTGTGAAATCGAATGAACGCAAGGGAATCGCAGCAAGCCCATCACAACTTAAGAAGCCAACCCCAGAGGCCCGGAACAGTCCTATCAGCAACACTCAGAGAGGCACGTACCACGGGTCGCAGCAGCAGGCGCCCAGACCAGGTCTCTGCAGGGAGCAGCCAGATCGCTGCAGGGAGATGGCGTGTCTATCTTTGAGGCATGAGATAGAGGTACGAGGCCCCTCAAAAGCACACTCACCGCAGGTCGCAGCACCAGGCTTCCAGGTCCCTGCAGCAGGCGTTCAGGTCCCTGCAGGGAGCAGCCAGATCGATGCGAATCCGGCGGTCAAAACATGTCATGATGGCACCGAGGAGACCGGCAGACACCAGGAAGAGCAGCAGGCCTGGTCGGGGGAAGACAGAAACACGAGGAAATTCAAAGAGGGAGATGTTGGGAAATGGTTAAGGGAAGCGATGGTCAAGACACATCATGACGGCACCGAGGAAACTGGCAGACACAAGGAAGAGCAGCACGCCTGGTTGAAGAAAGGCATGGGGTGATGGATGGACAAGACGAGATGGTCAAGGGAGATCTGACCAGGGGGTGGGATGTGGGTGGGTCAACACAAGTATGACGGAACGATGGTGCAGACTCGTAGAGAGTCAGAGACAAGAGAGCGTTTGCAGAACGTGAGCAGATGAACGTGAGCAGATGAACATGAGCAGCACACTCGGTTACGAAAGGGCACAGGAGAGATGGGCAAGGGATGGGGTTAACAATAGTGTGGTAAAGGAAGATGTCACAAACGGGGATAGGATGTATGTGGGTGACCTTTGCACAATAAAAGAAGTGGGGTGACCACTCTCTCACTTCCTCTCTCACTCCCTCTCTCACTCCCCCTCTCACTCCCCCTCTCACCACAAATGTAGTAGAACGTTGCTGCACTTTCCACGGCCCATGATTTCTGCAAGCCCATGTCGAAATAGTTATCCGCCACGTATGCAACGCCGCCAAGGCAGATAATCAGCTGGTGGTTTCGAAGAGGTAGAGGAAGGGGCGAAGGGGAGAAATCTTGAGTCGACTCAAAACTCGTCTCAATAGTAATCCGCCACGTATGCAGTGCAGCCCAAGCATATAATCAGCTGGTAGGTTGGCGGAGATTGTGAAGAGGAGAAAAGGGGAGTGAAAAAGGAGGAGAGGGGGGAAGAGGGGTGATAAAAGAAAGGGAAGAAGCAGCCAGCGGAAGGGAGAGTGAGGGAGAGAGTGAGAGAGCGAGTGACAGAGGAGTGGAAGCCTTTCACCAGAGAAAAAGAGCATGAGAGGGCGTGCTGGGGTGTACATGTATATGTGAGGGACAGATTGAGAAGAAGTGTGTGTGAGAGTGTGTCAGTGTGTGTGTGCGAGAGAAAAGGAGAACTGGAAACACACCATCTGCACTAGCAGAGGCTTTTGAGGCGCGACAAAAGTCGAGGCAAAGAATACCGGAGAAAGAGGCAACTTACCAGCTGTACGAGCAGCGTTACAAACACAATATCCCTCGCGACAAAGAATCTGAACTTGAGATGGCGGAATCGCGGGTCGGGTGGCGGGCACACGCGCAGGTGGAAGCGCGTCTTGCACGTGGAGCAGTGGCAGAAGGCGAATCCCTCCTTGGTGGCCCGCCATTGGTCCAGACACGAGCGGTGCACGAATCGTGCAGAGCCTTTGCATTTACAAGGGGCAATAAGGTCGTGGCCTGGTGGTGGGAGGTAAGGAAGTTAAATGCAAAATCTATGAAAGAAAGAGGAAGGCATTGACTACAATTCTTACGTGCCTTAAAAAGGCCATGTAACATTGATGGATGGAAACTCGATCCAATAGCAGAAACGGCGTTTCTGGTGTTAAACCGAGTTCACACCCCTTACTGGAAACATGTACCACCGCGTTTGCATACTGTCACGCGCGGCATATAGCAGAAACGTTTCGAAGCGAATTGCCACGCACCGTCATTCTCAAGGCAGATTCGGCACTGCGGTTGCTCCTCCTCGACCTTCGACTCCTCTTCATCCCCGAACCTTGAGGCGCCTGAAAAGAGACAGCAACAAATCGCCTAGTACCCACCGTCGCTCTCAAGGCAGATACGGCACTGCGGTTGGTCCTCCTCCTCCCCCTCCTCTTCGACCCCGATCCCTCTTCCGACGCTTCCGTATCTTCTGGCGTCAAAACCCATCGCATCCCCGCTATTGGGTGGCGCGAGTAGCGGAGTTTCCTCGCCAATATCTACAACCACGCCCATTTCCCGCGCCTCCTTATCCTTTTCCGTCTCCCACGTCCTCGCATGTTTGTCTGTGCTCTCTCTCATGTCGACCGCCTGAGACCGTTCCCCTTCCATCTCCCTCAAATCTGCACGCGATCCATCGGACGGTTCGGGCAGAAGCCGCTGCCGACTTAACGGCGGAGATCCATCCACGTTTCTATCCTCGGCCTCCCGCGTTTCCCGCTGTTGCGGCAAACTCACGATTTCCCGCGCCGCCGACTGACGGAAGGGTGTGGTCAATACTAAGTCAGCTTGTGCATGAAGCAACCAAAATGCTATTAAAAACCAAACCTACTACCGATACGAGTCGTGCTAGCTAAATATGACTCTAGGACCAGCCTGCACAAGAAGACGTGAAATGGTGAACACGAGGAATTTGCTTCTCATGCATGTCGCGCATATCTCGCATGTTCGCGCATGTCGCGCGCTCAGGTTTCTCCTCAACACCCTCAGGTTATTAGACCGCTCTGGATCGCGAAGCACCGCGATCAGGTCTAGCCAGTACCGCTATATACCGTGCTGAAACACGCTGAACTTAGAAAGAACCGCAACTGGGCAGAAAACCACCAATCCCTGGCTAAGGGCGGGGCCAGCGCGTTCATTTTACTCAATGGTACAGTTCATCCTGAGCGGTTACTCTCGTTTCGTCACGGTCTAAAACGGTTGACAAATAAAACCGCTGTAAACCGACTGGAAACTTTCTGCACCACGACAGATAAACTGTACAACCGTGAATAAGGGCGTGGAACATTGCAACGAACATGGCTGATGTTCGAACTTATGCGCTGGTTGGACGATTTGCGAACTCTATGTAACGCATACGCGAGCCCCGCCACACGTTTCGAACAAAAGAACCACTTTGTTCGCCAGCCCGAAAGGGTTCTTGAAGTACTGCACCCCAACCCTAGAAAAACGCATTGACTACCCATTCTGCTTTTGAGTGTGGCCGTATGACCGGATGGGACAAGAGAGTTTAGCGAATGCAGTGGGAACGCAAAAACATTGGATCGCAGTGGGGATGGGTCTGGGATATAAATTTCAAGGACGAGGAAAAGGATTTTTACATTTACCCTTGAAATAAAATCGAGTCAGGGTGAGTACACTTTACCAAAATCTTTCAGCGCTACCCTTAATTTTTCGTAAATCGTCCAACCCGCGCATATGTACGAACATTCACAATGTTCGTTGCAATGTTCCACGCCCTAACGAACGCGCTGGCCCCGCCCTAAGAACTTGCCATGAATCGTTAGTACACACCCCTGTAATACATTCTCTCCCTTTTCCTCTTGTATAATATGTCTCTGGTAATTGCTTCAATTTATTTATGTCCTCCTTTGTCTGATTCCCTGTCTGCCTTCATTGGGGTACCTCTTAAGGAAGCAATATGTACAGAGAGTTCCACCACACAGGAACACACGCTTGGCATATATACAACCGAACGTTCACCGGGGCATCAATACCAGAAGTTAATGAACGATCGGAACCGCACCGCCTTCCACGATCCTGTATCAGCTGACCCATAAACAAGTGCCTCTCCAGGAACTCGCAGCTAGCTCATCATTATGTATCAGCATCAGAGAAGAGCGCAGATTCCTGAGCTGCCTCTCGTGTCATCTGGCCCGTACACAATCACAAGTGCCGCCTCCCCACCCCAGTACTCGTGTAACAGCTGGCGTGATCACAATCACAGAAGCCGCAGAGCTGCCTCTCGTGTTCCGACAGCAGGGCTGGTGGCGACCAATGAGGCCGGAGATATATTATCAGTTGGCCCGTGCAGGATCACTAGTGCCTCTCCCTAGTAACGCGTGTTGCAGCTAGCGCATCATTATGTACAATCACAGAAGCCGCAGATCCCTGAGCTGCCTCTCGTGTTCCGGCAGCAGCGGTGGTGGCGACCAATCAGGAGGGAGAGACATTCCAGCCAAATCCTCCACGATATATTCCTGGGGAGGGGAGGGTATGAATAAAAGAAGAGAGGACGGGGACAAGGAGGACGAGGAACCACAGGCGGTGAACCACACACAGTGAACCACAGGCGATGGCCAATATTTGTAGTATGGAAGTGAGCAAGTACACTTTTGAGGCGCCTCAAAAGTCGTCAATATGGAAGTGAAAATTTACCTTAGTGAGGATCCTCTTAGCGAGGACGTGATAGTGCTGCTGGCAAATCCGCTGCACCACCAGGATCGAGACCAGCAAGCAGTAAAACACCCCCACCAAAGCCAGCACGACCAATAGGATCGCGCCAGTTGTCACCAGGAAAACGAACACCCCCTGCCCAGTGCACATGCCAGGGTGGCAACAGCTGGTGCAGGAGCAGCAGCAGGGCCCTGCCGAATGGCAGTGACAGCCACACACACTGAGAGGGGGGAACATTGGGGAGGAAGCAGGGGAAACTTTTCAATTGACTCGGAGAACATCCCGTTACGACGAGGTAGTCGTTACAGCAGGTGCAACAGCCGGTGTAGGTGCAGGAGCAGCAGCAGGGCCCTGCCGGATGGCAGTCACAGCCACACACACTGGGAGGGGTAAGGGTTTGGGAGAGGGCGGGAGGGGGAGATGATTTAGTCGGCTGTGAAGTCATTGTGTTACGATGTTGTGAGACTGATGCCACCGCTGGTGCAGGCGGAGAAGCAGGGCCCGGGATGACAGTCACAGCCACACACTCTGGGAGGGGGTAACATGGGGGGGAAGGGTGGGAGATACTTTTCGGTTGGCGCTGATGTCATCTCGTTACAATGTTGCAAAGCAGTTGCTACAGCCGGTGCAGGAGGAGGAGGAGGAGGAGGAGGAGGAGGAGGAGGAGGAGGAGGAGGAGGAGGAGGAGGAGGAGGAGGAGGAGGAGGAGGAGGAGGAGGAGGAGGAGCAGGGTCCCGTGGAACAGTCACAGCCACACAGAATGGGAGGGGTGAAGACAGATCGCTGCAGGAAGACAGATCGTTGCAGGGAGGTGGCATAAGAACAAACTCACAAGTTGCTGCGGTGGCAGCATTCCCCCAGGTCCCTGCATGGAGCTGCGAGGTCGCTGCGAAACCGGCGGTCGACACACGTCATGACGGCACCGAACAGACCAGCGAGGATAAGAAAGAGCAGCAGGCCTGATTGAGGGAAGAGAAAGACATGAAGAGATTGTCAAGGAGTGGGTGAGGGAGACTGGGAGAGATGATTAAGGGAACCGGTGGTCAACACACGTCATGATGGCACCGAACAGACCAGCCAAGACAAGGAAGAGCAGCAGGCCTGGTTGGCACAAGGCGTGGGAGGGAGATGTCATATGAGAGGGGTGCGTGGTAGATGGGCAAGAGAATGGCGATCAACACACACACCATGATGGCACCGAACAGACCAGCCAAGACAAGGAAGAGCAGCAGGCCTGGTTGGCACAAGGCGTGGGAGGGAGATGTCATATGAGAGGGGTGCGTGGTAGATGGGCAAGAGAATGGCGATCAACACACACGTCATGACGGCACCGAACAGACCAGCCAAGACAAGGAAGAGCAGCAGGCCTGGTTGGGGCAAGGCGTGGGATGGAGATGTCATATGAGAGGGGTGCGTGGTATATGGGCAAGAGAATGGTGATCAACACACACACCATGATGGCACCGAACAGACCAGCCAAGACAAGGAAGAGCAGCAGGCCTGGTTGGGGCAAGGCGTGGGATGGAGATGTCATATGAGAGGGGTGCGTGGTAGATGGGCAAGGGAACGGCGATCAACACACACACCATGATGGCACCGAACAGACCAGCCAAGACAAGGAAGAGAGCAGCAGGCCTGGTTGGGGGAAGAGAGAAGCACGAGGAGGTGGGTGAGGGAGATTGGACAAGGAAGGGTGGGATGTGGGTACGTAAGGGTGGTCAAAGGATAAGTACAAGATTGTGGGATGGCATGTGCAGCACTCCCTCAATGCACATGCATGACAGCACTCACCATAGACGTAGTAGACGGTTGGTGCGCCTTGTCCCCATACTTTTTGAATCCCTATGTCGAAAAAACAGTAACAAGGTCACAAGGTGACTTCTGAACTCAAAAGCCCCTCGTCTAACCCCGTGTCAAAAGCCCCTCGTCTAACCCCGTGTCAAAAGCCCCACGCCTAACCCCCTGTCAAAAGCCCCACGCCTAACCCCGTGTCAAAAGCCCCATGTCAAAAGCCACTCCCTCTCTCACCATAAACATAGAATACCGTTGGTGCGTCTTCACCCCATGCTTTCAGAATTGCCATGTCAAAAAAACAGACATCCGCTATGTTTACAATGCAGCCCAAACAGATAATCAGCTGGAGAGGTGGCGGAAATTGAGGAGGGAAGAAGGGGGGGAATGGGAGAAGCGGGGGAATGGGTGAAGCGGGGGAATGGGAGAAGGGGGGGAATGGGAGAAGGGGGGAGCAGATCCCAGCGGGGAGAGTGAGGGAGTGAGTGAGGGAGCGAGTGAGGGAGCGAGTGAGGGAGCGAGTGCGAGGAGTGGAAACTCTCTCACCAGAGAGAGTAAGTGTACGTGAGAGAGAGAGAGATTGAGAGGAAGTGTGAGCGAGAGTGTGAGAGTGTGTGAGAGTGAGAAAACAATAACAGGAAACTCACCAGCTGCACGAGCAGCGTTACGAGCACAACATCCCTCGCGACGAAGAATCTGAACTTGAGGTGGCGGAATCGCGGGTCGGGCGGCGGGCACACGCGCAGGTGGAAGCGCGTCTTGCACGTGGAGCAGTGGCAGAAGGCGAATCCTCCTTGGTGGCCCGCCATTGGTCCAGACACGAACGGTGGACGAATTGTGCAGAGCCTTTGCACTTGCAGGGAGCAATGAGGTCGTCGCCTGGAGGTGGAGGGGTGAGAGAGAGAAGGTTGGCGGCATGGGTACGAACAGTGGCACGTGGAGCAGTGGCAGAAGGCGAATCCCTCCTTGGTGGCCCGCCATTGGTCCAGACAACAACGGTGCACAAAACGCGCCGAGCCCTTGCATTTGCAGGCGCGATGAGGTGGTCACCTGGTGGGTGGTGTGGGAGAGAAGGTCCACGACATGGGGGGTACGAACTGTGTCGAATCATGCGACGTCTTGACTCTCGAAGCATGAGTACCATCCGTGTAGAGCTAATACCCACCGTCGCCCTCGAGGCAGATTCGGCACTGCGGCTGGTCCTCGCCCTCCCCCTCCTCTTCATCCCCGATCGCCACCTTCCCCGGAGGAGTCAGGCTTCTCCGCATCGTCGCACTGCTTCCCGGAGGTACGGTCGCGGCGTATGATCCTGCTGCATCCCCGCTATTGATTAGCGGAGTTAACTCGTCAATAACAACAACCAAATGTTCGTTTTCCGTCTCTAGTATGCTTGTTCTCGTGTCTACGGACGGTTCCCCTTTCATCTCTCTCGAGTCGTCACGCAATGTATCGGACGGTTCGGGCAGAAGCCGCTAACGAATGGACGCGAGATCTATCGGCGGTTCTATCACCGGCATCCCGCGTTTCCCGCTCCTACTGCAAGCTCGCGATTTTTCCCGCGCCGCGGGGGAAGGGCGTAGCTATCACGAGTCGCGACGCTAGTATATCTCGTTACGGACCTCTAATTATCGTTACAGGACGACTACTTTATCTCGTTACCCGACATTGACTTGTTTTAAACGGACGACGGCCGTGAGTTTGACCCCGTCGTTCGTGCAGCCATGGGGTGGGAAGAGTCAGGAGGAGCAGTCAGGACTCGCGATTCGGGAATGGGTGTGGTCGGTGGGAAGGTGGGAGGGACTGACTGCGTGAGGAGGATCAAAGCGCAAGTCAAGTCGATTCCGATGTCAGTCCCACCAATCGGAAGGTGGGACTGACTGGCTGGCTGCCCCATAGCTGGGGAAGTGACGCGGCGTGGACATCGCTGGAAAGACCTTCAGGTTGCGTGAGGAGCAAGCAGGTGGATCATTCGCCCCCCCCCACCCGAGATGAGTTGGACAAGGAGCTGTGCTTGCTGTCCATTCACCGTTCATCTTCTACACAAACCGTCACATTGCTTAATTTGACCGCTCTTGATCGCGATCCACCAGAGAGAAATCAATTGAACGTTTCTGGCGATCCCCAGGCAGCCACTTCCGAAAACAACACCAACGATGTCGGCGCCACCACACGAAAATTTTCATTGGTGAGAAAACCGCTACATACCGAGCAGAAGAAGAACGCTAAACCTTCGACGAACGAACCGTGATGATCATGGAAATGGATACTCCGCTAGTAGGTGTGGCGAAAGCGGGATTGCTGAAAGTCGAGGAAAGCGAGAGAAACGTAACGCAGCGCACAGTGTGTAAGGAATTTTTCGGATTCCTTACTGGGTCACTCCGTACGCGTACAACCCCGACTTTCGGAAAACCAGGCTCGGTCCGCCGACCTCGCCTTCCGAGCCACCACCGCGTCGCCTTCGGGTTTTCCAACCCCGAACCTGCACCCAACCATCTCGCGACCCCGCGACCTCGGCCTAGCTAGGACTTGCTATATTGTGCCTAGGCCTCGTTGTTCATGCAGACGTTGTAATCACTTCCGCATTATTGAGTTCTGCGCACTCTCTTCTTTCACAACTCATAACACTTGGTATCAGAGCCTAAAGTCCTAGGTTACCCTCGCGTTTCCGGGGTAGTTTGTAGAAGGGGAGCGATAGACTTGGTGGGCTGTTAAGCGGTCGGCCCGTGGAATAGATCCGATTATTCCACTCCGACTACGATAGCATTAACGCCTTCACCGAAGTCAGAAAAATCGCGAACCACCCCCTGCCCGTTAGACGAAGCCTGCGACACATGGACCAGGCGGAGTTCAACGAGTTCATGCAACAGTTCCGGGAGATGCAGGCCACCATGCGGACCATGTCTGCAGAAATGGAGCGTCTCCAGAAGGAAAACGCCGAACTACACCAGGCGTGTGTGAAACGCGCCAGGAGTCGCCTGTCGTGGACGACGCAAGTAGCAGCACTGCACCGGAGGAGCGGCTCTGGAACGACCTGGAAGGCGATATAAGTGCGGATGAAGCGAGGCAGGCGCAGCAGCAACAGTCACCGCAACAGTCGCGTGCAGCACCGACACATGCAGCAGCGACAACGACGCGACGCCAGCCAGCAGCGATGCCAACGGCTCCGATGGCAACAACGGCTTTCGTGAAAATCAAGCCGACAAACCCGCCCCCGTTTAACCCAACCGACAAGTTCGTCACTGTGTTTGTGCATGGTTGTTCGGCGTGGAGGTGTTTTTTAATGCTGCCATGATTTATGACGATGCCACCCGCATTAATTTCGCAGTTTCACTGTTGCGAGGGCCTGCGCTGGAGTGGTGGAGGCGAACGCTGCAGCACGAAGGGACTTCGGCAGGAATAGCACGTGCGAACGACGGGACTTCGACTTCGCACATGTCAAGCATCAGGCAACATCAATTTTCGGGACGGCCACGATACGCACATGGAAGGAGTGGGGCGCCGCCTTGCGAACCAGATTCGAGCACATATCCGCCTCGGATTCTGCTCGCATGCAGATGCGTACCTGGAAGCAGCTGGCGTCGGTCCAAGACTACACCAGCAAATTCTGCAACTTGGCGGACCAAGTGGACGACATGAGCGATGCAGAGCGGTTGGATCGCTACGTGGCGGGCCTGAAATACGAGATACAGTACGAGGTCCGACGAACCCGGCCACGCAGCTTCAACGACGCCGTCCGGGAAGCCGAGTCAACGGATGCGCTGATGCAGTGGGCGAGATCGAGCTCCCGGGAGGGCCCTCGATTTCGTGGACCGCCGCAGCAGCCCACGATCAACGGCGTGGATGCACCGAGCCGAGCCCTTGGGCCGTGCTTTCAATGCAACCAGCTGGGTCACCTGAAGAAAGACTGCCCGAAGCTTAAGCAGGGGAAGAAGAACGACGGAGAAGGGTCGGGAAAAGATGTGAGTCAGTAGCAGAAGGGCCACCTACTGACGAGACCCTGTCGCCCGACAATCACCATCCACACCGGGTCGTGGTACCGATCAGAGCTATCGACCAGAACCGGACGAATAACGTGGGTGAACACGTGGACTACCCTGTGCTGGTGGTGGGGAGGGTTAACGGTTATAAAATAAAAATATTCGTTGACGGTGGGGCGAGCCACAGTCTCGTCAACCTGGCAACGGCAAAAAAAATAGGGGTGAAGCTGACCAGTGTTCTGCCGGAGATCGATGCAAGGCTGGTGGATGGGACACCGCTGGCCATCCGAGATGAGGCGCGACAAATTCGGATAAAGTGCGGCGAGAATTTCGGGTTTGGCATGAAAATGTTGGCGACGACATTGGACGGCTGCGATGTGCTGCTGGGGAGGGATTGGCTACAGCGATTCAATCCGACGATCGACTGGACGACTGGGGCGTGCGTCGTGCGAGGATACGGAGGGAAGACGACGCTTCCGAAATGGACGGAGCCGGAGCCGGTGACGACACGTGTCAACGCGGTCAACATGCAGCGTGCGATGAACAGCGGAGCTCAGACCTTCTTGGTGCACCTGTACGAGGTGGCAGCTTCCGAGAAAATCGCGGACATCGACACCCTCTGCGCAGCAGTCCCCGAGGAATTGGCGAGCATCATTCGGAAGTATCCCGAAATTTTCGGGGATGACCTCCCGGATGGCTTGCCCCCCCAACGACCTGAGGATCATCGGATCCAGCTGGAGCCGGGAGCGCAACCTACTGTACGGTCACAGTGGCGGCTCAGCCAACCAGAGCTCGCCGAGTTGCGGGCACAGGTGGATTATCTACTCGCCAAGGGCTTCATCCGGCCAAGCACGTCGCCGTATGCAGCGCCGATACTGTTCACGCCGAAGAAGGACGGGGGCCTAAGAATGTGTATTGATTATCGGGCGCTGAATCGGGTCACGATAAAATCGCGTTACCCGATCCCGCGAACTGACGATCTGCTGGATCAACTTCGCGGAGCTCGGTATTTTTCGAAGATCGACTTGCGAGGAGGCTACCACCAAATTCGCGTGTTCGCCGACGACTGCCAGAAGACCGCTTTTCGCACACGTTACGGCAGTTATGAGTTCACAGTGATGCCGTTCGGTCTGACAAACGCGCCCTCGACGTTCCAGCTCACCATGAACGGGATTTTTCGGGACATGCTGGACAAAAAAGTCATCGTGTACTTGGACGACATTCTGGTGTACAGCGCGACAAAAGAGGACCATCTGCGGGATTTAGAGGAGGTGTTCCGGCGTTTACAGGGGCATCGGCTCATTACGAAGGGGTCTAAGTGCAAGTTCCTAAAGCCGAATTAGACGGTTAGAATTAGAGTTTTTGGGGCACGTGGTTTTGGCGAAGGGATTGAAATCGACCCGCGTAAGGTGGACGCCATCGCTAAGTGGAAGCGCCCCTACTAATATCCCTGAGTTGCAAAGTTTTTTTGGGATTTGTTAACTACGTTCGTCGTTTTTTACCTAACATGGCAGGGATAACCAAGCCGCTAGCCGACCTGCTGCACCACGACAGTGATTTTCGGTGGGGGGAGAGGGAGCAGTCCGCCTTCGACGCCCTCAAAAACATTTTGAAGTCACCCCCGGTACTCCGCCTCGCCGACCCATCTCGACCGTTCGAAGTCGTCACGGACGCCAGCGATTTCGCCGTCGGCGCCGTCCTGCTACAGGACTTCGGCAAAGGGCTGCAACCCATCGCCTACGAATCACGCAAGATGCACCCACCCGAGCGCAACTACCCAGTCCACGACAAGGAGATGCTGGCCATCGTCCATGCATTCCGCGTCTGGCGCTGCTACCTCACGGGAGCCGACGTGACTATTCGAACCGACCACAAATCGCTACAGTACATGCGCACGCAACCGACACTCAACCCGCGACAAATCCGGTGGCTGGACTTTCTTGAGTCCAACTTTCGGTTACAACATCACGTACCACCAAAAGGGCGCCAACAACATCGCCGACGCCCTCACCCGACCATCCATGCAAAACGCGGCGGTGCTAATCGCCCACACCAACCCGATGCTGACGGGACTATTCACCCACGGCTACAAGATCGACAGGTTTTTTCGGAACCCGCAACAACAGGCTGCTACACCGCACGGCAAGTACTACCTAAAAGCCGGTACTAACCGGATTTGGGTACCAGCATACCAGCCTTTACGGGAGCTGCTGACGCAGGAGGTTCACGACTCCAACCTTTCCGGGCACTTCGGCACCGACAAAACACTGAAGCTGCTGCAGCGGAATTATTACTGGCCGGACATGTTAACCGATGTGCAGCGCTACGTGTCAACCTGCCCGACCTGCCAAGCAATGAAGTCGTCGCGACAAAGGCCAGCCGGACTACTGCAACCCCTCGAGCCACCCGAACGACCGTGGCAACAGGTGACGATGGATTTCGTCACGGGGCTACCAGCTGGCGCAAGTGGCAACGACTCGGTAATGGTCGTCGTCGATCGCCTAACGAAAATGGCGCATTTCGCCCCATGCCGCACGACG